GGGAAGAGGGTCAGAGGGAGAAGCAGACTCCCTGCTGAGCAGGGAGCCCGATGCGGGACTCGATCCCGGGACTCCAGGATCATGACCTGAGCCGAAGGCAGTCGCTTAACCAACTGAGCCACCCAGGTGCCCCTTGAGATCCCAATCTTAAGTGCCTATGCCAACACCATTACGCACAGATGTAGGACAGGTCTTGTCCACGAACGACAAGAAAAGAGGTGCTGTTGTGAGATTAGCCCGCAAATAAGTGATCTCCTGGAGGCCAGGGGCTGGGAGAATGGGTGGCCTCGGTCTTTTTAAATCCCTCCCCCAGGACCCAGAGCCACTTAGTTACTGACTAATCCTACTGGTCAACCAGTCTACCAAATTCGAGTGTCCACTGGTTCATCAATAAGTGGGTATCAAATACCATTTTTTGTTGTTCCCGGCGCTGCATGAGTTAACACGGAGAGAATTCTTTTTTTTTAACTTAAGCCTTGACTTTCAGCCTTAAAGAGGTCGCAGTCTGCATGGTGAGGCAGAGCTAGCCTACATAGGAGGAAATGTAAGTGCTAACATGGGTGTAGGAGCAGTCCCGGTCGGGAGAGGCGAACCAGCTTAGTTCTTTATTTAGCGTTAGTTGCTTCCACTAGTGTGCTGGTAAGCCCACTCCCAAAAAGGCAGAGAAAGACAAAAACCCTCATTTGTAATGTCCCCTCATTTTCCATGCTGGAGATAGTACCATCAGGACCAATTTCAAGCTCCCTATGTGACATCACTGAACACGGAGTTGGGAAGAGATATGGTAAGTTATCTCTGGCCAGCCAGGGCAGGCTGGCTCTGGTCCCCCACTGGTTCTCCCTGGGGCCCTGGGAAGGGAAGACCCTACTTGTCTCACCCCTGCGCTGCACATGGGCTGTGACCTTCCCAAAGTCACGTGCCATACCGGCATGCTGGCATGAAGTAACACGGCCATGTACATCGCCAGCGATGTATCTCTCTAGCTGAGATTTATTGATTGCAAAATGGAAGTGGTCTACCCCAAAGAGCTATGCACCTCACAGGGGCTCAACAAATGTGAGCCTCTAGCACCTCTTCTCCTCCTTCAGAGGCCTGGGGTACTTGGGCCACCATTTGTTCATTCATTCGTTCAGCAGGTATTTTCTGATTGACCTCTCTCTGTGCTGGGCGCTCTGCGGAGGGCTGTGGAGACAACGAGTTACAAGACAGATGCGTAGAGCTGACAACACGGGACAATGATGACCGGGCCCCTAGAACTGGGTTCTAGTCCTGACTCCATCTCCAACTTACTGTGTGGCCTTGAGCAAATCACTTAACCTCTCTGGGCCTTAGTTTCTTCACCTGTAAACTGAAGGAGTTGAACTTGCCATTCACTAATGTCTATTCAAGCTCTGACCTCCTGTGGCTCCAGGAAGGGAGGCGAGGTCTGGAAGGCACAGGAAGAAGAGCTGAAGAGACAGGCAGCTCTGTGAGAGAAGAGCAGATGGGACCCCTGGAGATCTGGCATGAGTCCCTTGAAAGAGGAGTGGACACGTTTGGTGGGGTTCTTGAGGGAGGAGCTCAGGGGTGGAAGTTATAATGGGGGTGGGTCATCGGACCCCAGCTTGGAAGATGTTGAGCGCCATCCCAGCTGCCCAGCCATGGCATGAGCTGCCTTGTGAAGGAACGGGCCCCTCCGAGTCAGTCAGAGACTGAAGACCACCTGCCTCGGCCATGTGGACAGGATCCCTGGCAGGGAGGTCACGGCTTTAAAACCCCAGCTGCTGGGCCCTCTTCCGGTCCGCATATCTCGAGAGGCTCACCCCGTCCTGCTGGCAGGGATGTGGGGGGAGGGTGGTGCTAATGACCACCTGCCGAGTGCCAGACCCTGTGCCAGTCTCCAAGCCGGAGACACAGTTCCCGCCCCGGACAGGGGAGCCAGACTGGCACATTATCTCACTCGGTCTTGAAACAGCCGTGGGGGTGGGTCCTGGGCTTATTAAAGTGGTAGGTGGCCGAGCCAGGCCCCGGACTGGGGGTCTCTGGTCTGGTGGGGGTGGGTGTCTCAGCGCTGGGGGTCTCCACTGCATGTTGCTGGAAGAGGGATTCAAGGCAAGGGGGTGAGCTGCCCGTCCAGTCTCTTAGTTTGGTGGAGTAGAGGCTAAGGCCCTAGCCGGGTTGGCGACCATGAGACAGAGTCTAGCCGATGAGAATGTGGAGGGTTTCCCTACCTCCAACTATGGGGCATGCGCACACGCATACACACATACACACACACACACACACACCCTCAGCTCAGTCCAAAAGCTCTACTAAGCTTACTTTCCCCTGTCAGGTCTCCTGGTACTTCTCTCCTGAGAAAGCCAGTTCCTTGATGACCAACCCAACCACACACGGAACCCCTCATCTCCCAGCCTTCATCCAACATTCCCACCCTGCTCCCCTCAACTCCTCATCTCACTTCATTCTGGACGCCCCTGTCCTGTTCCTCTGCCCCAGCCCTGTCCCCTCACCACCACCTCGAAGCTCTTCCCATGGAGAGAGGCCTCCCTGTTGACGGGCTGGCAGAGCCCTTCTCTTCCCATGAAAGACCCAGTGAGTCCCGGAGACACTTGGAAGCTGGACCGAATGGTATTTCTCCCTATTTTCTTTACAACTGAGAAAACACAAACACAAGAGCATATTTATTGCAACGTGTCTATTCCAAAGTTTGTCTTAAAAAAAGAAGAAGAAATAAAATTAGTTTCTCTGCCCAGTCCACCCCTACCCCAAACCCCTGCCCTTTCCATTCCCTGTGGAGGCCAGGGAGAAAAAGAGAGCGGGCCCCAGCCCCACAGAGAGGCACTGCATCCCGGACAATGGCGGGCTTGTTCACAGAGTTCGGGAAGAAACACACCTCTGAAAACATACACAGAACTTCCCAGTGGAGGGTGTTCTGAGGGAAGAAGAACAGGCAGGCCCTGTGTCTGGCCACAGTATCCCTGAGGCTCTGGGAAGAGAGGAGCCCGCAAGTCTAGCCCCCTCCCCAGACAGGAGGGGACCCCTTACCCTTCTAGCCGCCGGGGGACTATTTCCCCACAACTGGTCCCGCTGGGCCTGAAGGAGAGTGCCATAAGGCAGCGGCCCCTTAGGGTGCCAGGACCTGGAACCCCAGAGATTGAAGGCAGCACTGAAGGAGAAAAATCTCCGAGGAGAAGCAAGGGACTGCTTGTTAGACCTTTGGGATTTTCCAGACGTCCTCTGGTGTGAGGGGAACATGCCTCACACGCTCATCTCTGTCCCCTGAACAGGGCCCATACCGACAGCCCTTCCATCTCTCAGGTGACCAACGGATGTGGCATGAATGACAGTGATGGAAAGAAAGGTCACTCAAAACAACAGGCCAGGTCAACCCAAAAGGGTTCCCCAGAGTCCTGGGCCCCGCCCATTCCTCCCCCATGCCTTCCTGGGAAGGGAGCCCAGGAGGCCCCTCCCCGCTATGGTGACTGAGCCAACAGCGACACCTGCTGGGCCATCAGACCAGGGGCGCTGTCCCAGCCTCCCAAAGCTCCATGCTTGTCTTTAGTTTCAGGTCCGCCATCCCCTCCGCCTCCCTCCCCGCCAAGGAGCATCTGTGATGCAGACGCTTCTTAAACCAAGACAAAATGCTCCCAGACTTGAGAGGACGGTGCAGGTCCCACCAACAGAGCAACTCAGGAAACATCATCCGGCACCTGTCATGGGGTACCAGCCGCAGGTGTCTGCTTTGGGACTGCACACCCTCTAGCTGGTGGTGCTCCATCTTGGCCGCACATCAGAACCTTCTAGGGAGCTTTTAAAATGTCTGAAGACCAGGCTGAAGCCCAGGTGATTTCCACATACAACCAAGGTCGGCGACCACTGTTCTGGTTGATCTCTTGTAAATTTAATGGGGTCTTTTTGGGGTCTACCTGCACTGGCCCACTTGGAGTCAGGGGCCCAGTTGTGCAGGGAAGGCCTTTATGTTGTGGTTGTCATGTATTTGTATACTTGGCGTGACAGTTTTACAGCAGATTACAATAAGGAAGGCTTTTCTGCTTCACATGAAGTCATTGTTTGGGCCAGTAAGAGGGCTCCGGGGGTCCTGGGTCCTCACTGCTCTCCTCCATGATTAATCTGTCCATCCCAGAGCCTCCTCAAGAGCTCTTTGGTTGGGCATCCTTCCCCTGGCTTGAACCGGGCCCCTGTGAATTGTGTTTGAAAGCTTGGAGCATTCTTCATCCTAAAAACACACAAGATTCCCGCATTAGAAGTTGGGGGCAGGCCTGGATTCCATCAGGGAGGTTGGCTAACTCATTTCATTTCTCCGGGCCTGGGAGATTATAGTAGACTTCTCCAAAGAGACAGAATCAATTGAATGTGTGTGTCTATAGAGAAAGAGATTCACTGTAAGGAATTGGCTCACATGATTCTGGAGGTATAAGAGCCAGTGTTTCAGTTCAAATCTGAAGGCAGTTTGAAGGTCATCAGGCAGGAGGAATTATTTCTCTCCTGGGGGCGGTTCAGTCTTTTTGTTTTATTCATGCCTTCAACTGATTGGATGCGGCCCACCCACATTATCAGGGCAATCTGCTTTACTTAGCCTACCAACTTAAATGTTCACCTCATCCAAAAACACCCTCACAGACGCACCCAGAATAATGTTTGAACAAATATCTGAGCAGCCCAGGGTCCAGTCAAGTTGACATAATATCAACCATCACAGGGATCCTTCAGAACGAGCCTTTCTTTACAGGTTAGAAGGTGGGAAGTGCCCTAGAAGAGACTGGAGGAGGTTTCCAGCCTAACACGTGTAATTAAACTGAGAAATCTGTGAAGGCTTTATGAAGAGAGGATTCTTGGAGGAGACACCCCTCGAACCACACGCAGCCGCCTTATCTTGATGTGATTTCAGATCTTTGCGCGTGGAATTGATCACCTTGTGTCGTGTGCCACATGACCCTCAATCTCCCCGTATCTGAATCTCCAACTAACCCCTCTCCCTCTCTTCTTCCAGGTGAACTATGACCACTTTACTCCTGGTGTTTGTGACTCTGAGGGTCATCACGGCAACCAGCTCACTAGAAGCTTCAGGTAAGGACACCCCCATGCGTGTCTCACGTATGCAGTAGCCACAGAAGACTGGATTCTGGGTCCTGGGTCCCGAACTTAGTACTGCTGCTCCCAGGGACATAATGTCCCCTTTCCTGACCTTTTCCTGGCCCTGCCTGCCCCTTTTCTATCAAAGGCAAGCCTAGCCGCAAGGGGAGAGCGCCTATGCGTCTGAACACACACACGCACGCATCCGGGAGCCCTTGCTCACATAATCCTGCTCCCGGCTGCCCTCTCGGATGGACAGCTGAAGGGGAGAGCTCCTGGCAGGCGCCCGTCTTCCCATCTCCTCTCTATGGACCTTACCCAAAACCGCCACACACTGAGCTTGGGGTTGGGGCAGGATTATAGATAAGCCAAGAGGAAAAGCTGCCAAGCGGGATCAGCTGGAACATCAAAGAAGAGACCATTCCTTGAGAAACAGAAGTCCCCAACATTTCACACAGGTCTTTGTTTTTCTTGGCCAGCCATCCTCGGGAAGACCCCTCGTGGTCTTTCACATATGGCAGGCACGAGGTGGGTTTCTGACCATCGAGCCCTCAATCAAATGGACAAACTATCCACTGGCTGCAGGATGGGTTTTGCTCTGGGCCATGCACTTTAGAGGCTTCCCTCTGGCCCTCCTCCAGCCCCAGTACTCGTTAAAGGTTAAGGGGTCTGTAGGGACATGTCCACACAGATCTATGATCTCCCTTTAGACCACGCTCTGGCTACCCAGGATGCCCCAAATTCCCTGCCCAAGTGGACCCAAGCCACTTCTAGGGCCCATCCTCCATGCTCTTGGTGAGAGCCACCCCAGGCCTGAGGGAGAGGTCAAGGGGTGGCTGTTTGTGCGGGGTGTGGACGGAGCTGGGGTGTGAGGGCTGGGATAAGCACAGACCCCTCACGGTACAGAGAACTGGCAGAGAAGAGGCAGCTTCCTGCTTGGCCACTAGAGCCCAATGCAAAACTCTAAGGAATCCAAGCATTCTAAATTTGAATCTGGCTTTTCATTTTGAAAGGTATCATTGTCAAATAGGAAGATAGAACATATTTTAGTTAACATTCTGTGGACTTGATTTATAACTTTTAAATATTTATATGTAGGATATATGGGTCTCCATCTGTATTCTTGCTCGGACACCCACAAATATCCAGGCCCTGGCTGTAACCTGGGTGGTTTGCCCACACAGGCAAACCAGTTTGTAGGGTTGGTTGAGAGCTTTAAAAATTGCAGCATTGGGTACTACAGTCACTTTTAGCTCTCCCTGGAGAACCAGAGAACAGCCAGCTCTAAAACCATGCTGTGTTGTGGGGCAAGGGCAGCGCATTCAGAGGGAGATTTTTGTGGAAGGACCTAGTAGTGGCTGCCCAGGACATCAAAGGTTAGGGCTGGACCCCCCCCAAACATTCCTGGCTCCCCCTTCCTTGCCCTGTTATGTATCTACCACCTACAAATACCTGAAACATTTTCATTTTCAACGTGGAAAAAAAAAAAGGGTCCCATAAGTGCGTGACCTGCCGTGAAAGGTGCAATTTTCGCAAAAGCTGTTTCTTTCCCATTCCAGGGGAAAGACAGTTACGTCTAACTGGATTTGGTAAACATGCTGCATCTTCCCTACCAATACTCTCCATGATTTTTCGTGGAGCTAATCACATCCCACGCCCAGCTCCCACCCCGTCTGACTTTTTGTGGACATATGTGAATACGTCCTTCTGCTCCTCTCCAGCCAGCCCCCTGCCCCGAGTCCCCAACAGCAGGAGAGAATGCCTTGACCCTCAGCAAAGATAGGATGGAGTCCAAAGCAGACTTCAAGTGGGACACGTCTGTGTCGTTTTGCATCTGAGCTTTCAGCATCATGTGGATTTTTTTTTTCTTCCTCATCACAATTTTTCCTGCCCAAAAGTGATTTTTCCCAAAATCTTTGAGTCAAGCTGTCACTCCAGGAAGATGGGTCCTGTTTCTCTTATGGCTTGGTATCCCCTGGGGTACCCCAGTTTGAGAAACAGGGGGATCTCCGCTCTAAAGTTTTCCTTGCTCTCCTCTGCAACCCTTTTCCAGTCTTAAGGTGCAGAGACCAAAAGGCGTTGCAAAGCTTCCTGGGAATTCCAGGTGGTACAGGAGCGCCCCCTCCCCCCAGTAAATACTGACGCACTCACAGGATTTTGTCATTTCCAGAAGGACTGACAGGGAGGCTGCGTGGTGGTCCAGGCACTAACAGTTCTGTCCCTGCCCCACAGACCCTGACAACTCGCTGAGTGTCAGCATCCCCGAACCGTCCCCTCTGCGGGTCCTCCTGGGGAGCTCCCTCACCATCCCCTGCTACTTCATCGACCCCATGCACCCTGTGACCACCGCCCCCTCCACCGCCCCCCTCGCCCCGAGAATCAAGTGGAGCCACATTTCCAAGGAGAAGGAGGTGGTGCTGCTCGTAGCCACGGAAGGGCAGGTGCGGGTCAACAGTGCCTACCAAGACAAGGTCTCGCTGCCCAACTACCCGGCCATCCCCAGTGATGCCACCTTGGAAATCCAGAACCTTCGCTCCAATGACTCTGGGATCTACCGCTGTGAGGTTATGCACGGCATTGAGGACAGCGAGGCTACCCTAGAGGTCGTGGTGAAAGGTGAGAACCCCCCACAGGGACACTGCTTCACCTGGGAAAAGAACCAGAAGGGTATACTCACGGGATTGGACACAGGCAGGCTGGTTTTCAAATCCCAGCTCCTCCCCCACTGGCTTCCAGCCACCTGAGTCAAGTCACTTAGCCTCGATTGTGCCTCTGTAACATGGAGCTGGGACTGTCATTCTCTCTGGACTTTGAGGGACTTAAAAACGTCCTGGCCATCGTCACATGCAAATGAAAGTTTGTGCTTTGCTGCAATCCCGTGATTCCATGGGCCTTGCGATCATCCCCATTTTACAGATAAGCAAACTGAGGCTAGGTGCTCTGCCTGAAGTTTCCCTGGAAGCAAACCAGAGCGGTCTCCTGACTCTTCATCCAGATGTCTTTTCCTGTCCCACCTCCCACCCCAGCCCCACTCTCAGCTCCAGGAGCCAGAGAAAGGGATGAAGTCTCCCTGGTTCCCTTTCTCTCGATGGCCCAAGGAGAATGGTTGTGTCCTTGGTTGGCTTGAGGACAGGGTTCCCACTAGGATGCCCCTGCGCTGAGGATACATGGAACTCTAAGTGTCTCTCTCCCCGAAGAAGATATGGGGCCTGGGAGTGCCAAGAAAAAAGTAAAAGGAGGCAGATTTTAGTTCAATTCAAAGAACTTTCTGATTATCAGAGAAATTCAAAACAGATACTCTGTGAGGTAGTGAGGTCCCCGTCACTGGAGGTATTTCAGCAAAGGCAGAAGGACCACATGCGAATGTGGGGAGGAGATCTGTGCATCAGCTGGAGGCCCAGACCTGAGGTCCCTAAGGCAGCTTTGACCATAGCCATAATTCTTCGAGGACTTTGATGACGGGAGGCTGTGCCTGACCTGCTCTCCCGCCCGCACGTGTCTTGCAGGCATTGTGTTCCATTACAGAGCCATCTCCACGCGCTACACGCTAGACTTCGACAGGGCACAGCGGGCCTGCCTGCAGAACAGTGCCATCATCGCTAGCCCCGAACAGCTACAGGCCGCCTATGAGGACGGCTTCCACCAGTGTGACGCCGGCTGGCTGGCCGACCAGACTGTCAGGTGAGCCCCCGGGGCCACTCAGAGTGGGGTGGGCCATGGGCTAGAACACCAGGCCAGCCTGGGCTGGGGCTGGAGCAAGGCCTTGGCCGACTCTAACACTCCTTAGGTCATTATTCAGAAGCAAACGTTTGATTTGGGACCGTCCAGTTGCGCTATGAGGAAAGGTAGAATACTGTGTCAGGTATTCTGCGTGCAAAAAAATTCATCACGTGCTTTTCTAGAAAGCGCCAGTGCTCCAGGGGAAATACTTTCAGTAGCCACTAGGAATTTTAAAATAATACAGAACTTGCACAGAAGACCTTTCTGTGCCTTACTTTGTAAAAAGGGGCCTATTGTATTCATTTGAAGATGCAGCACGAGCAATAAAGCAAATGTGCCCTTTGTCCCAGACCATCTCAGACAGGAGCTCCCGGGGCGGGGTTGGGGGTGGGGGGAGGGCAGGACACATTCTGGAATGTCTGGTGGCTCCGCTGATAGAAGTCTCATGACCTGTCCAGATCCCTGTCATTCCGCCCTGTAGCAGAATGAGCAGCTGCTAGCAACTCTGCCCTACATGAGCAAATTACACATCATTACCTTTCCTACCCCTGTTCCCTTTGCCATGATTTCTTCAGTTTCTTGAAGCCTTGGTGTTTTGTGTATTTTTGTAAACCGCTTGCCTTTTTTTGTCGTTGTTTTTAATAAGGCAAGTCATAAATTAAGCTTTTTGGCGCCTTTTTCCCTGAGTGCAGCTGCGGCGGGATGGGGAGCCCGGCGGGACAGACAGAGCTCTGCCCTCGAGGGATCTCAGTCCATGAGAGCAAGTCTGTCGAGGCAAAGATGACATACTCATTCAGGGTGGATCAAAGCTCTGAACGGAAAAGCCAGAGCCGCAAAGCCTCCCGAAGAAAACAAAGGAAAATACCTTTGCGATCTTGGGGTAGATCTTTCAGATCTTAGGACACAAACGCCACCAACAGGAAACAAGACAAGACAGCAGCCTAGCATAGCGCAAGAGCCCGCACCGCGGCCTCAGAAAGAGCTGGGCTCCCAAGATATCCATCGACAGATGAATGGATAAAGAAGATGTGGTATATATACACAATGGAATATTATGCAGCCATCAAAAGGAATGAGAGCTTGCCATTTGCAACGACGTAGATGGAACTGGAGGGTGTTATGCTGAGTGAAATAAGTCAATCAGAGAAAGACATGTATCATATGACCTCACTGATATGAGGAATTCTTAATCTCAGGAAACAAACTGAGGGTTGCCGGAGTGGTGGGGGTTGGGAGGGATGGGGTGGCTGGGTGATAGACACTGGGGAGGGTATGTGCTATGGTGAGCGCTGTGAATTGTGCAAGACTGTTGAATCACAGATCTGTACTTCTGAAACAAATAATGCAACATATGTTAAAAAAAAAAGAAAAAAGAAGAAGATAGCAGGAGGGGAAGAATGAAGGGGAGTAAGTCGGAGGGGGAGACATACCATGAGAGACGATGGACTCTGAAAAACAAACTGAGGGTTCTAGAGGGGAGAGGGGTGGGGGGATGGGTTAGCCTGGTGATGGGTATTAAAGAGGGCACATTCTGCGTGGAGCACTGGGTGTTATGCACAAACAATGAATCATGCAACACTACATCAAAAACTAATGATGTCATGTATGGTGATTAACATAACAATAAAAAATTTAAAAAAGAAAGAAAGAAAGAGCTGGGCTCCCACCACAGCTCTGACACTTAGAAGCTGTGTGACCTTGGGCAAATTGTTTAACGTCTCTGGGCCCCAGTTTCTTCCAGGTTAAAATGGAGTGTTTCTAGCACTTGCCTCATTAGGTGGACGTGCGACTCAAATGATACAAAGCAGGGGTCGGCAAATGGTGGCCCACGGGCCAAATCCAACCCACCCTCGTTTCCGTATATAAAGTCGTGTGTGGGAACTCTGTGGTTGTTTCACACTACAGTGGCAAAGTTGAGGGGTCAAGACGAGACCCTAGGGGCCACAAGACCTAAAATACTTACTATCTGGCCTTTCTACAGAGAAGGTTTGCAGGCCCTGGATGTTCGGTTCCAATAAATATTCAGCAAACGGGGCTGCCTGTAATCACCGGTAACTGTGAAAACATGTATCTCAGTAAAGCTTGGCGAAGAAAAGCCATAAAGACAAACAGTCCACGTATCCAGGGCAGATGCTGGTAAACACATCAGTAGGTCCTCGTGCCCTCCCACATGGGAGGAGGACACCAGGGCCCAGGCCACGGGCCCCTTCCATCCCCTGCGTGTCACACGACACCCACTCTGTGTTCCTGGCAGGTACCCCATCCACACTCCGAGGGAAGGCTGCTATGGGGACAAAGATGAGTTTCCGGGCGTGAGGACCTACGGCATCCGCGACACCAATGAGACCTACGATGTCTACTGCTTCGCTGAGGAGATGGAGGGTGAGGCCCCGCCGCCCCCTTCCCAAGACCCCTGTCTGTCCCCTTCCCCCCACTGACACCAGGGATCACATGGGCCTCCTCTGGGGCAGAGCATGAACCCAGGGCAGCACACACCAGACCCCTCTCTGCCATACCCAGGGAGGGTAGGGGAAAGGTGGGGGGAAGGAAGGGGCCCACAGATCCTCTCCCTCCCCACTTTGGAAAGAGCCTCAGTAGCCGCAGGCACCTGCCAACTGGCACCACTACTGGGCCTAAGAATGCTTGTCTCTGTCTCTCCGCTGGGACCGCCCCTCCCAGCCAGGATCCCCTGCTGCTCTGACCAGCCCATCACTGTCCCAAGGGTCACTGCACCAGTAAAGCCCAGCCCAGGCTTGCCACCCTCATGAAGGACAGCCTGGGCCACTCCAGGGTGGGCCCATCAGAAATGTCCTTCCCGGGAGAGCCGGCTGCCTTTCTACGCTCTCTAGCTTCCCTGCCACCAGCCCCCAGCGCCATCCAGGCTGTCCCAGTGGGCCAGTTCTGGAGAGCCTTGGCAGTCGTGGGAAGGAACCCAGAGTCTTTCTTTGCTTTGCATGGGGTGCTAATTTTGATCACAAGCAGAGCTTCCCAAATTCCCCGGGCATGGGGATGACACCCCTCCTCCCATCTGCACCCATCACCCCTCTTGACACTCCAGGCTCTGCCGCCTCTGCCCCCACCCCCACCCAAGTTCAAAGCTTCCCCCAGGCTGGAGATAAGACCTGAGGACGTGCTTGTTCTGAGGCTGGGACAGTCCCCTGCTTTCTCACCCGCAGGCTCCCTTTCCTCATTCTCGCCCCTGGGCCCAGGGCCTATTAAAGAGCAAGTATTTGTGTTCCCATTCTTGGCTCACCAAAGACACGGCCAATCAGAGCTGCCACTGAGTGGGGACAGCCAGGGCCTCCCCGGAAACAGATGCCCACCACCCACCCCTACCCCCCCCACACACACAACAGGTTTGTGGAAATAGTAAAAAGGGCTCACAAGGCCCTTATGGACCCCAGTTTGGGAAGCACTGCTCTGAGGGTCAAAGTCTAATGCCTGCTCTTCCCATCACAACTTGAATTTTTGTGAAGGATTGCTTGCACGGGCAATGCTTAACTCCTAGGAAAGATGCCTTGGGGGGGGCGGGGAACGTTTCACAGCAGGGCGCGAGCCAGGACACTTTGGAGCAGGAGTTTGGAGCCTAGAAGCCGCGTGGATTCCCTGGGGATGCAGGACAGGAGCGGCGAGACAGGTCCTCACCCTGCCGGCCCTGTCCTTCACAGGCGACGTCTTCTATGCAACATCTCCGGAGAAGTTCACCTTCCAGGAGGCGGCTGACGAGTGCCGGCGGCTGGGCGCGCGGCTGGCCACCACGGGCCAGCTCTACCTGGCCTGGCAGGGCGGCATGGACGTGTGCAGTGCTGGCTGGCTGGCTGACCGCAGCGTGCGCTACCCCATCTCCAAGGCCCGGCCCAACTGCGGGGGCAACCTCCTGGGCGTGCGGACCGTCTACCTGCACGCCAACCAGACGGGCTACCCGGACCCCTCATCCCGCTACGACGCCATCTGCTACACAGGTGGGGCTGGGGAGGGGTCGTGCCATGGAAATGGGGTCCCAGAGGAGGGGAGCTGGGAATGGGCATTGGTTTCTGCCCCTTCAAGGGGCCACAGGGCACCCGAGCCCCATGTCTCAGCAGCCCCTGTTTTCACTAGTTCCTAGAACAGCTAAGGGAGAAGCACCGTAAACGGCAGGATCCAGGTTGGTGGGCACAAAACCATGCCCCCCGCCAGGCGGGCGCCGTTACCCACGCTCTTGAATCCAGTGTCCTTAAAAGAAGGCCTACAGGGTTATTAAAAAGAGTGGGAGGGGCAAACAGTTTTGACCCACAATTCATTTTGAAAACTTGGACTAAAACTTTTTTTTTTTTTTTAAGATTTTATGTATTTATTTGACAGAGAGATAGAGAGAGCACAAATACGCAGAGTGGCAGGCAGAGGGAGAGGGAGAAGCAGGCTCTCCACTGAGCAGGGAGCCAGACGTGGGGCTCGATCCCAGGACCCCAGGATCATGACCTGAGCCGAAGGCAGCCGCTTAACCAACTGAGCCACCCAGGCGCCCCTAGCCTAAAACTTTTCAAAATAAGATTTTTATCTCATATTTTACAGTCTGGGTTAGCATTACAATTACATGCTAGTTCTTAGAGGAAAAAGAACATGGATACTATGGAGCTGCATCCCTGTTATGACAAAATTAGGAACAGCACAGCACAGTGGCCTAGCTCCTTCCCGTTTGGCTTTCACGGCCTGACTTTACACGAAGAGGGGCATTTTTTTGCAAAAGTAATGAGGATTTCCCCCAAAGCCTCTCTTAACCTTTCAATATCCTAATCAGCGTTTTTGAAGTGGTAGGACGCCTGTGGGTTTCCTCTTTCCTCAGTGATTGACTGGCTTGTTCCTGCCAGACCCTCGTTGTCTTGCGACGGAGGCAGGCAGTGGTCTTTGGTCACTTTCATCCATGGCATGGGCTCCCACATCTTTGGCAAGATTTCTCAGTTCCACTTTGTAACTGACTTACATTGTCCTGGTGGCTAGTTGGAACCTCAGGTAGCTGGAAGATGGGTGAGGAGGTAGCGGGCACTGCTCAGGAAGGGATGCTGGAGCCGGACCAGTTATACAAGTGATGAGCCGCTCGGCCAATATCTCGTGGTATGATGCCTTGGCATTCTGGCAAAAGGAGACAGAAGCCTCCTAAAATGAGTATTCACAGAGTTGAGGCTGCCAGGCACACCGCAGGTGCTTTCCTTCCCTGGCAGAGGAAGGAGGTGGATCCGATGCTCGTCTCCCTCAAGCCAGCCCCAGGTTGAGCCACTAAAGCCCATCTTCCTTCCCGCCCCAGGTGAAGACTTTGTGGACATCCCAGAAAACTTCTTTGGGGTGGGCGGCGAGGAGGACATCACCATCCAGACAGTGACCTGGCCTGACATGGAGCTGCCCCTGCCCCGAAACGTCACCGAGGGTGAAGCCCGAGGCAGCGTGATCCTCACTGTGAAACCCATCTTTGGCGTCTCCCCTACTGTCCCGGAGCCCGAGGCGCCCTTCACGTTTGCCCCAGAGCCCGAGGCGCCCTTCACGTTTGCCCCGGAGCCCGAGGCGCCCTTCACGTTTGCCCCGGAGCCCGAGGCGCCCTTCACGTTTGCCCCGGAGCCCGAGGCGCCCTTCACGTTTGCCCCGGAGCCCGAGGAGCCCTTCACGTTTGCCCCCGCTGGAGGGACCTCTGCCTTCCCTGAGGCTGAGAACAGGACTGGAGAGGCCACTGGGCCCTGGAGTGTTCCCGCCACGCCCGGGCCAGCCTTCACCGCCTTCACCAGCGAGGACCATGTCGTGCAGGTGACTGCAGTCCCAGGCACAGCCGAAGTTTCGGGGCGGCCACGATTGCCAGGGGGTAAGTGCCCGCCCCTCAGGGGGCTGCATGGGGGCTGGGGGACAGGGGGAAAGAACTTGGCCTAAGGATCTATACCTTCAACTTAGCCTGAGACCTGGGCGAAGCCTTCATTCTCTCAGACTCGGTTCCCATTGCTTGTAAAACAAGGGGGTAGGCCAGAGAGTGACCCCCACACTCTTTTGCCACAAAGCGTTTCCTTCAAATGAAGTCAGAGGTGGAAACCGGAGTATGTGTCAAGCAGGTAAAGATACCACATGGGTCTAGGTGAAGCAGGACCAAGAACTGGGGTTCTTTTGTCCAGGGCCACCCCCTCCCCGCCATGGGAGGGGGGGCCATGGTGCCATGAGGCACCGCCACAGAACAGTCGCTTGAAAACCACTGTACGAGGTGACCCTGGGGCTCCTCACAGAGCTGACCTTCTGGGACGGGGGTCAGCAGACCAAGCTCCAGTGGCCACATCAGCTTGCCACCTGTTTCTCTATGGCCCACACCCTAAGGATCGCTTTACAGTTTTAGATAGGTGGGGGACAAAGTCGGAGTAAGAATAATCTTTTGTGACATATAATGAAAATGACATAAAATTCAAGATTCAATGTCCACGAATAGAGTTGGACTAGAACAAAGCCACAGCTACGCGTCAGTGTGCTGTCCATGGCCCGGATCCATGGCCCTTTCCGGGCTACAGCCGCAGAGTTGAGTAGTTGTGACAGAAACCATGGAGTCCATGAAGACTAAACTGTGTCCTATCTGTCCCTTTCCAGAAAATGCTTGCCAGCCCCTCTGCTAGGATGGGAGTGTTCCAGATGCTTAATAAAAGTCTGGAGGCTTGGGATGTTATAGAGCTCAGCTGATCCCCAAACTCCAATGCAAGAACAGGAAGGACATTCTGGGGTGGCTTTTGTAAAGGCCTTGCTGGTGTCCCCTCCTGGGGGAAGAGCAGATGGACACTGCCATCCACCATCACACCCAGGATGCCACCAAGTGGGATTTCAGCCTGAATTGCCCAGATGAATACAATCTGTTGGGAAGGAGAAATTGTTTCAAAGTTTTCGGGTAACCCCCCTGATGGCTGGGTCCCAGGTTAGCCCAGGACTGGAAAGAGTCCCACTGGCTCTGTGTGGGAAGGCGCCAAGGGACAGATGAGCATCGGCCACAGGACGGGACAAGGGACGTGGGACAGTATCGGACCAGGGATTTGCAGCTGTGACATAACCTGGCCAATCACCCCTGAAAGTGTCAGAAACAGAGACCAGTGTGTACGCAGCAGACTACAACGGGAGAGGCGGAGTCAGTGGGCAGCTCCAGGGCAGGGTTCTGCCCCTTTGAGAACCTGGCAAAAGCCACAAGGCCACTCCCCAGAATGTGCCCGGTGCACACCCACCAAAACTCTGGCCAGCACTTTCAGGGCAGGCACCCACCCATTGGGCTCTGGGCCAGGTAGAAGAAATGCCAGTGATTGTTCGATATATTCCTTAGCCTTTTCTGTATTTTCCAAATGTTCTTTGATGAATGCTTATTCTTTTTATAATGAGGAAAACGCATTTGTTTTGAAGAGGAAAGGGACAAATGAGCAGCCTAGGAGTGAGGAGCCAAAGAGGAGGGTTGGGGACACCCAGGGCGAAAGAGTCCTCCAAGGTTCTCTCAGGGAGATGGATTTCAGGAGCAGCTTGAACAAGCAGAGGGAACCAACTCAGTTAAGAACAGGATCAGAAGTAGGAAAGGAAGGAGGGGATGAAGGGGAGTCATTCCTGAAGGAGCCAGGGCTCCCTCCCTGCCCTCAAAGCCGAAGAGCCAGGCCCCATGGGCCCCGGCACTGAGGTACCCAGTCCATGCCCTGAGCCTACGTTGTCTCTCCCTCTCTTCCTCTCCTCCCCACACAGGGGTTGTGTTCCACTACCGGCCTGGCTCCACCCGCTACTCACTGACCTTTGAGGAGGCTCAGAAGGCCTGCCTGAACACTGGGGCTGTCATGGCCTCTCCGGAACAGCTCCAGGCCGCCTATGAAGCAGGATATGAGCAATGTGATGCTGGTTGGCTGCAGGACCAGACCGTCAGGTGAAGGACAAGCCCCCCCAGCTCCGCCCCCAGCCCAAAGCAGACCATGAGAGGTCGGGCTTGGGGAGCAGAACCTGTCACAGCACCCAGCAGAATGGGCACCTGCTACACTGTGCAGTAATTAATTAATTAATGACTCCATGGCTCCTCCCTTAATTTCTCCCCCAGAACCAAGGCATATTCTGAGCGGGTGGGGAAGGACCCCAGGTGATATTAAGTCCTTGGTCATTTACCCCCAAGGGACAGAGAGGGAGAATCTCCCCTCCAGCTTGATTCAGTGCCCTTCCGTACAACGGGCTCTCTTCTGAAGCCAGGGATCTCCCAGCGGCCTCCAGACCCTTCCCCCAGCCACACAGGGACATCGCTGCATGAGGAGCTCCCTCCCGGTTTGCATCCCACCAGACAACTGAAGATACGCCCTGCCCGAGTCCCCGAGAGACCAGCCAGCCCCTCCCTGGGCCCTGCATCCCCCAGCCTCTGGAACAGGCCTTCATGTGCCCCTCCTGCCCTCCCTTGCAGATACCCCATCGTGAGCCCACGGACCCCGTGTGTGGGTGACAAAGACAGCAGCCCAGGGGTCAGGACCTACGGTGTGCGGCCACCATCAGAAACCTATGATGTCTACTGCTACGTGGACAGGCTCGAGGGTACGGCCCACGTTCTCGCATTTTGGGCCCCAGCCAAGCAGGGGGCTAATGGGCAGACACAAAGAGGAGGGGGAATTACCATCCACCTGGTTTGGTTCCTGTTTAAGAAAGGCTGGCCCAGACCCTCTCTCAGATCAAGGTCCTTCTCTCGCTCCTGTGTGGTTCATGTGGGTTCCCCCAGCACTGCAGGCTAGCACTAGTTCCTTAAAAAAGCAGTGATTTCTGCTGATAGATGAGTCTTTACTTATTACGAATAAATGTCATGTATGCCATCTGCCTCGTGGAGAGACCTGATGCCCAGGAACAAATCAAAGATTCAGAAATCCTGCAGTAGAAAACCTCTTTAACTCTGCTTAACCAAGCAGCGCAAGCTTACTTAACCACAGACCTTTTCTTTTGTTTCATTTCAGTTCTTTTCATTTCAATTATAATCACCAAATTACTATTCCACTGAACCCAATTTTGGAAATGCTGATGTCCTGGAAAGGTTTCGGCATACCCACTCACTCGTTTTGGGACGTGGGGCAAGTTACTTAAACTCTCTGGGCCTTAGTTTCCTCATCTATAAAATAGGAGCTGACTGTGCTCATATGAGAGCCCTTGGTGAGCATTAAATGAGACATGTGTGACAAGTGCCTGGTACAAGTAGGTATTCAGTAGGGGCACCTGGGTGGCTCAGTCATTAAGCATCTGCCTTCGGCTCAGGTCATGATCCCGGGGTCCTGGGATCGAGCCCCACATCGGGCTCCCTGCTCAGCGGGAAGCCTGCTTCTCCCTCTCCCACTCCCCCTGCTTGTGCTCCCTCTCTCGCTGTGTCTCTCTCTCTGTCAAATAAAGAAATAAAATCTTAAAAAAAAAAAAAAGTAGGTATTCAGTAAATGTGAACTTCCTTCCCCCAGATCAGACAGGCACCTGGGTCCCGTTCTGCGTATGGGGACCCGAACCCCAAGAGTGGCTCCAGGACCCGCCCCTCCCCCCAATGAGTTCCCAGGGGTGGGGTGCGGGGCTCGGCATCCCGGAGCTCCATGCTTGAGTGCTGCGGTGGAGCGGGGAGCACAGGGGGTCGGGGGGGGGTAGTGCCAAATGTGACCGGACAATCGAGAGAAGACGGAAGGAGGGAAGGTTGTTCCCACGTAGAAGGACCGACTGGTCTCAGTTCAGTTGCCCTACCACCCCCCCACCCCCCGCCCCGGGTGAGCAGAAGCTGCTCCGGCTGTGGGCATGAGGGTCACACGTGTCACCTGATTCTGCCGCAGGAGAGGTGTTCTTCGTCACACGCCTGGAACAGTTCACCTTCCAGGAAGCCCTGGCATTCTGTGAATCTCAAAACGCCACCCTGGCCTCCACGGGCCAGCTCTACGCCGCCTGGAGTCAAGGCCTGGACAAGTGCTATGCCGGCTGGCTGGCGGACGGCAGCCTCCGTTACCCCATCGTCACCCCACGGCCCTCCTGCGGCGGAGACAAGCCAGGCGTGAGAACCGTCTACCTCTATCCCAACCAGACTGGCCTCCCCGACCCGCTGTCCCGGCACCACGCCTTCTGCTTCCGAGGTACGCCTTCTCGCCTCTCCTCCAGCCTCCCTTCTGCCTGGCGCGCGACTCCTCTGGGTTCACCCCTTCTGGCCCCTGTCCTCTATACCCATCCATCACAGCAAGGAGGAAAAATTCAGCCCCTCTGGGGCAGGGTCAGCCCTGGGGCTATCATGACCTTAGGCGTTGACCCCAAGGCAAGCACATCCTTCCAAAGTTCACCCAGAGACCGGCAGAGAGGTGAGTGAGAGCTGGGGCTCTAAATCAGGCAGACCTGAATTTTAATTATAGCTCTGCTGCTTAGTGACTGTGTAACCCGGGGCAAGTCACCTAACCTCTCTGTTCCTCTGCTTGTCTATAAAATAGTGATATAATCGTTCCTGCCTCAAAGAGTCACTGTGCGCATAAACTGGGATAGTGCATACAAAACACTTGGCGATGTGCCTGGGACATAGTAAATTCTCAGTAAATGTCAGCCTTATTATTATAAATAACACACACATACACATATATATACTATTTTAATTTGTACACCCTTGCCAAATTTTCTTCCGCTTGTAAATATGTCTGTGACGTGTTGAGTCAAAGTATTCTTTTACTCTTCACTAAGCACCAGAAATTCATGGTTTTAATTGACCCACGCTGAGGACCCACTGCCGCATCAATCAATCCTCATTACTTGCGGGAGTTCTGAGAGTGATGTCGTCAAACAGCCCAGGGGGTGTGGCTAGGGCGTGGCCAAGGCCATGCTGGGCTCTGCCCAGATGAGACCCCTGGGGTCTCGATCTACTGCAATGTAGATTGTAGTCACAGCTTGGGCCATGTTTTATATCTGATGCATCAAGACTGAGTGTCTTTGTAACTTCCTGTGAATGTATCATTATTTCAAAACAAAGTTAACAAAAAATAAAACCTGAGCTTTCGCCCGCTTCTCAGATTTCCGGGGTCACCTTTGAAAACCCAGTTCAAAGGAAGCTCAGCCCCACTGTGCAGCCTCAAGAAAGCCAAACTCCTCCCAGAGGATGTGTTGAGGCTCCTGTGTTGGTACCCTTCTCCCTGCTCTGGGCCACAGAAGCCAAACCAGTTAGCCTCCCAGTACATTCTTAGCCTTGCACGCCCACAGGCCCCCACCCTCCATGAACTTGGTCTTTTCTGTAACTGCAAAGAGATTTGGCCTCCTTCCCGACCGAGCCCACCGCTGGTTTCCCCTAAACCAAAACAGTTACCCCCATCAGTAAATCCCACCTTTGGCCTCCAGTGCCAGGACGATCGTGGATTTTAAACAGCAGCCTCCTATTTTTGACCCAGACATACTTGGAACCTAATCTGTCCCCAAGAGAGGCAGCGTCATGCCGTCGTCGAGAGCAGAGTAGTCTGGCACCAGATACTTGCCTTCGAAGACGAGATCTGCCATTTATAAGCCAGTGGCCCTGGGCAAGTCATTTAACTCTGTGCCTTAGGTTTCCTACCTGTAAATGAGATCATAGTATCTATCTCATAAGGCTGTTGGGGGGCAAATGATTTTATATACATAACACCTTTAAACAAAGCCTGGCACGTATAATACATTCTGCAGAAGGGATGCCCCAGACCCCCCTGAAACAATGGGGGTGCTGATGGTCTGTGCATATCAATATTGTGTAAGTGAGGCAATCGGCTCTCACAGAAGAAGACAAGAGCCATCTTCCTTGGGCTTGGCGGGGGGTGCGGGCAGAGGTCGAGGTCCAGCAAGGTTTTTGCACCAGCCTGGCCCCCCTCAAAATCCCCTAGTCCCCCTGGAGAAGGGCCAGCCTGGGATGGGTGGCTGGCAGGAAGGAATGCTCACCACGCACCTCTCTTTAGGTGTCTCAGCAACGCCCTCTCCAGGAGAAGAAGAGGGTGGCACACCCACCCCCTCTGTCGTGGAGGACTGGATCGCTACCCAGGTGGGGCCTGGTGTGGCTGCTGTCCCCGGGGAGGGGGAGACCACCGCAATCCCGGACTTCACCATTGAGCCAGAAAACCAGACGGAATGGGAACCAGCCTACAGCCCAGCGGGCACTTCCCCACCGCCAGGTCTGTATGTCCAGGGCTCTGGGGTGTATCCTGAAGTCGCAGGTGTCTGTCTGCCTAGGCCCTGGCCCAGGGGTGCTTCTCTCCCCGGGACCTGTGCTCTGTTTCCCCGGCCCTGACACTAGCTGGATATGCTGCCGGGGGGCAACGTCAGCCACCTCAAGTAGCCTCTGGGACAACTGCCAAGGCAAAGAAGGGGCAGCCTTGATCATAAAACACACCTCTCTCTCCCTCTCTCTCTCTCCACCCCCCAACTCGCTGTTCTCTTCTTTTTATTTCTCCCACCTACACACTGCACTGCCCATCACTGAGCCGATCAGAGGGCTCTCAGTCTGTCCTCCTGCATTTACACCTCTACCCTCTAACCTTTTACAAACTCTCTTGTAGGCAGATCTCCAATAGTGGGGAAAGGACCTAGAGGGGTCATTGGAAGTGTGACTGTGACCTGTCCCCTTGCCTTGCTTCTCCTTCTGTGTCCCTCTTCTGGGCCAGGCAGCCCCAGCCAGCACCTCCTGAGCCCCATCTGTCCTGATCAAATCAGATGGAACTTGATGGGATTAAAGCTTCAGTCCCCTAACCGTGTTGGAAAAAGTGTTTTGTGGCCATAAGGTTTGGGATAGGCTGGCTTACAGAAAGATTAACAGCTTTCCTCACTGCAGACCTTCTCAGTGCCTTGGATATGCTAGTAAGTGCTATAATGCAGAGGGGTTGATGTATTCAAAGTGTCCCAAATGAATCTGACCAAAAAAAAAAAAAATTTTTTTTTTTCCCCATAGAGCATTCGTATATGGCTCAGTTTGGGTAAGGCTGAATTAAAGCAATGCCCAGTAATGTGTGTGTGCTTAGTAGTCAGCTTGCCGGGGGACAGGTTCATTTGAAGAAAGGAGTATATCAGAGCTTCGCACTACTTCATGTAGTCACTCATTCAGTGCACTGTTCCCAAGCAGTTTAGTCATGCCAGGCTGGGTGCTGGAAATGCCAAGTCTGGCCTCCCTCCGTGCCGAAAGGTGAGGGTGTATCGGCAGAGCAGGTGGGATTCTGGCCCAGAGACCTCACCCAGCAGCCATACCTGCCTGTGACCCTTTCCTCACCCTTCACCAGGACAAGAATAATCAAGTCCTGTTTGGCCTGAGTGTGTGGCTTGGCACAGGATTCTGGCAGCAACCAGTGGGAGTTTCCATGGGAAGGGAGTCCAACGGGCCCCTAGAAATATTTTCCATACTTCAGTTCCCTCCTACTTTGGTCATATCAGGAATCATCTGTACTGTTGTTAACTCTATGTCTTTTTCTTTAAATTGACTTGCTTTTAAAAAGAAACCTAAATTTATTTAAAAGAGAAACATTTTATCATGACTGTTAGTGGCCACCCCAGAGTGTTTCTGGTATATATATGTACACACACACACACACACACACACACACACACACACACACACCCCTAACACCCTCTTGTAAGCCACCACTACTATCCTGAACCCCCCACCCACCTCCACGATTCTCCTGTAGCCAGAGTAGGCTGTGAGCCTGCCCAGTGGGACTAGCACCTGCTTGGCTCAGGTCCTCTACCTGAGGAATAAGCCCAAAAAAGAACATGCAAGGGCCAATCCCAGCTAAATGTTTTTTGTTTTGGTTTGTTTTGTTTTTTAAGATTTATTTATTTATTTATTTGAGAGAGAGTGCGTGCGTGTGCAGGCAAGTGGGGGTGAGGGGCAGAGGGAGAGAGAGAAGAATCTTTTTTTTTTTTTTTAAAGATCTTATTTATTTATTTTTTTGAGAGAGAAAGAATGAGAGATAGAGAGCACGAGAGGGAAGAGGGTCAGAGGGAGAAGCTGACTCCCCGCCGAGCAGGGAGCCCGATGCGGGACTCGATCCCGGGACTCCAGGATCATGACCTGAGCCGAAGGCAGTCGCTTAACCAACTGTGCCACCCAGGTGCCCGAGAGAGAAGAATCTTAAACACACACTCTGCTGAGCACAGAGCCCGACAGGGGGCTTGATCTCATGATCCTGGGATCATGGCCTGAGCCAAAACCAAGAGCTGGACGCTCAACTGACTGAGCCACCCAGGTGCCCCAGCCAGCTAGGTTATTTTTAAATGCCAAAGGAAACAAGATGGAAAGAAAATAATGCAACCATGATTATTTAGAATGATGAGAGTTTTTCACTCTGTTTTCCAAATCCTTTTCAATAGCATTCTCAGAATTTACAAAAATGATGTATTTTTGCCAACAGTACTACCTGGCCTCCCCTGCCTCAAAGGGATGGCTTTGGATGAATGAGTCTCAAACTCGAGGGGGGCATCAGCATTGTGAGGGTTCCAGGGTGGGGGGGTGGGGAAGGGGCTTATTTAAAGACAACGTGCCTGGGTGGCTTAGTCGGTTAAGTGTCAGACTCTTGGTTTCCGCTCAGGTCATGATTTCAGGGTTCTGGGATCAAACCCCATGTTGGGCTCCCCACTCAGCAGGGAGTCTGCTTGTCTCCCTCTCTCTGCCCCTCCCCCCGCTCATGCTCTTGCTCTCCCTCTGTCTAAAATAAACAAATAAATATTAAAAAATAAAATAAAAATTGAAAAAAAAAAAGACGACATGCTGCCCCCACTCTAGAGTCCCTAGAGGGACTGGGGTGGGGTCTGAGAATCTGATTTTCTATCAGGCTCCCAGGTAATGCTGGTGTTGCTGGTCCAGGGACCACACTTTGCAAATCATGGGTTTAGATAATGAGATGATTGTGTGGAGGTACTTGAGAAGTGACCTCCATTACTTTCCATGGTAGCCAGGCCCCTACTTACCTGGGTTGTGTGGATGGCGCCCCCTGGAGTCTCAAAGAGCACAGTTTCCTGGTCCCCTCCCTCCTTCCTTCCCCAGACACTGTGCAAGGTTCCATTAGAAAATGTGGGAGCACACCTCCGAAGAAAAGTTTTACTGTGGAAGGAATGGGTGAGCCTCAAATAGAGCAGAGTTACTAAAGTAAATCCACACCTCATCTTCTTCCTTTCTTCCAGGGATCCCTCCAACGTGGCCTCCCACCAGCGCAGCAACAGAGGAGAGCACAGAAGGCCCTTCTGGAACGGAAGTGCCCTCAGCCTCAGAGGGGCCGTCCCCCTCGGAAGAGCCATCCCCCTCAGGGGAACCGCTCCCTTGGGAGGAGCTGTCCACACTTTTACCCCCAGTGCCCAGTGGGACTGAGCTGCCAGGCTCTGGGGAGGTATCCGGTGTACCTGAAGTCAGTGGTGACTTCACAGGCAGTGGAGAAGTTTCAGGACATTTGGACTCCAGTGGGCTCATGTCTGCTGTGGGCTCAGGCCTGCCTGTGGGAAGTGGACTGCCCTCAGGGGATGAAGATAAAATTATATGGTCCAGCATTCCTAAAGTTGGAGGTGAGGGCCTAGAGATCTCTGCCTCTGGAGTAGGGGACCTCAGCGGGCTGCCTTCTGGAGAAGGTCCAGAAGTCTCTGCCCCTGGAGTGGAGGACCTCAGTGGATTACCTTCTGGAGAAGGTCCAGAAGTCTCTGTCTCTGGAGTAGAGGACCTCAGCAGGCTGCCTTCGGGAGAAGGTCCAGAAGTCTCTGTCTCTGGAGTAGAGGACCTCAGTGGATTACCTTCTGGAGAAGGTCCAGAAGTCTCTGTCTCTGGAGTAGAGGACCTCAGTGGATTACCTTCTGGAGAAGGTCCAGAAGTCTCTGTCTCTGGAGTAGAGGACCTCAGTGGATTACCTTCTGGAGAAGGTCCAGAAGTCTCTGTCTCTGGAGTAGAGGACCTCAGCAGGCTGCCTTCGGGAGAAGGTCCAGAAGTCTCTGTCTCTGGACCTCAGTGGATTACCTTCTGGAGAAGGTCCAGAAGTCTCTGTCTCTGGAGTAGAGGACCTCAGTGGATTACCTTCTGGAGAAGGTCCAGAAGCTTCTGCCTCTGGAGTAGGGGACCTCAGTGGACTTCCTTCTGGAAGAGAAGGTCTAGAGACCTCTATCTCTGGTGTAGGGGACCTCAGCGGGCTGCCTTCTGGAGAAGGTCCAGAAGCCTCTGCCTCTGGAGTAGGGGACCTCAGCGGGCTGCCTTCTGGAGAATTTCCAGAAGTCTCTGCCTCTGGAATAGGGGACCTCAGTGGACTTCCTTCTGGAAGAGAAGGTCTAGAGACCTCTGTCTCTGGTGTAGGGGACCTCAGTGGGCTGCCTTCTGGAGAAGGTCCAGAAACCTCTGCTTCTGGAGTAGGGGACCTCAGCGGGCTGCCTTCTGGAGAAGGCCCAGAAGCCTCTGCCTCTGGAATAGGGGACCTCAGTGGACTTCCTTCTGGAAGAGAAGGTCTAGAGACCTCTGCTTCTGGAGTAGAGGATCTCAGTGGGTTGCCTTCTGGAGTAGAGAGTCATCCAGAGACTTCTGCTTCTGGAGTAGAGGACCTCAGTGAACTTCCTTCTGGAGGAGAGGGTCTAGAGACCTCTGTTTCTGGAGCTGAGGATCTCAGTGGGTTGCCCTCTGGGAAAGAAGACTTGATTGGGTCAGCCTCTGGAGCCTTGGACTTTGGCAGAATACCTTCCGGAACTCTGGGAAGTGGGCAAGCTCCAGAAGCAAGTGGCCTTCCCTCTGGATTTAGTGGTGAGTATTCAGGGGTGGACCTTGGAAGTGGCCCATCCTCTGGCCTACCTGATTTTAGTGGCCTTCCCTCTGGATTCCCAACTGTGTCTCTAGTGGATACGACATTGGTGGAAGTGGTCACAGCCACCAGTGCAAGTGAACTGGAAGGGAGGGGAGCTGTTGGCATCAGTGGTGCTGGAGAAACATCTGGGCTGCCCTTCAGTGAGCTGGACATTAGTGGGGCAGTTAGTGGACTCCCTTCAGGAGCTGAACTCAGTGGCCAAGTGTCTGGGTCCGCTGACATCAGTGGGGAAACATCTGGATTCTTCGGTGTCAGTGGACAGCCATCAGGGTTTCCTGACATCAGTGGGGGAACATCTGAGCTTTTTGAGGTCAGTGGGCAGCCATCAGGGTTTTCTGGGGAAACATCGGGAGTGACAGAGCCTAGTGGACTGCCCTCCGGACAACCAGATGTCAGTGGAGAAACCTCTGGAGTTCTTTCTGGCGCTGGTCAACGCTTTGGCATAACCGACCTGAGTGGAGAAACATCTGGGGTCCCTGATATCAGTGGGCAGCCATCGGGGTTGCCGGAGTTCAGTGGGACAACTTCTGGAGTCCCTGACCTGGTTCCCGGTACCATGAGTAGTAGTGGTGAGTCTTCTGGCATTACGTTTGTGGACAGCAGTTCGGTTGAAGTGACCCCAACTACTTTTAAAGAAGAAGAAGGTTTAGGGTCTGTGGAAGTCAGTGGACTCCCTTCAGGGGAGGCAGATCTCTCGGGCATATCTGGGATCACGGATGTCAGTGGACAAACTTCTGGAGCAATTGACTCCAGCGGGTTGACACCCCAGCCTCCAGAATTCAGTGGCCTGCCAAGTGGAGTAGCTGAAGTCAGTGGAGAATCCTCTGGAGCAGAGACTGGGAGCAGCCTGCCCTCAGGAGCATATGACGGCAGTGGACTCCCATCCGGTCTCCCCACTGTGTCTCTTGTAGACAGAACTTTGGTGGAATCCGTCACCCAGGCTCCAACAGCCCAAGAAGCAGGAGAAGGGCCCTCGGGCATTTTGGAACTCAGCGGTGCCCATTCTGGAGCACCAGACGTGTCTGGAGACCATTTGGGAGTTTTGGACCTAAGTGGGCTGCAGTCCGGGCTGGTGGAGCCCAGTGGAGAGCCATCAAGTACTCCATATTTTAGTGGGGACTTTTCTGGCACCATGGATGTAAGTGGAGAATCCTCTGCAGCCACGAGCACCAGTGGGGAGGCCTCAAGACTTCCAGAAGTTACTTTAATGACTTCTGAGTTCGTGGAGGGTGTCACGGAACCAACTGTTTCCCAGGAACTTGCCCAAAGACCCCCTGTGACATACACCCCCCAGCTCTTTGAGTCCAGTGGAGAAGCCTCTGCGTCTGGGGATATTAGTGGAGCTACACCAAGGTTTCCCGGGTCTGGGCTAGAAGTGTTGTCGGTCCCGGAATCCAGCAGCAAGACGTCTGACATTCCTGAGGCTGAGGTGGGGGCGTCTGCCGCCCCTGAGGCCAGCGGACGAGCTTCCGGGGTCCCTGATGTGGGTGAAGCCACCTCTGCCTTCCCTGAAGCTGATGTGGAGGGGGCCTCAGGCCTGGGAGTGAGCGGCAGCACCTCAGCCTTTCCTGAAGGCCCCAGGGAGGGCTCGGCCACCCCAGAAGTACGGGAGGAGCCAACCAGCACCTACGCTGTGGGCACAGAGGCGTCAGGCTGGCCTTCGGCCACTCCGATGGCGTCTGGAGACAGGACTGAAGTCAGCGGAGACCTGTCTGGTCACACGTCGGGGCAGGATGTTGTCATCAGCACTAGCGTCCCAGAATCCGAGTGGATCCAGCAGAGCCAGCGCCCTGCAGAGGCGCCTCTAGAAATTGAGTCCTCAAGCCCCTTGCACTCAGGAGAAGAGACCCAAACGGCCGAAACTGCCACCTCCCCCACAGATGTTTCCATCCTCACTTCTCCAGCAGGGACACATGAATCAGCACCAACCGTTCCAGGTATTGTCGGGATTTTTTTTTTCCTTTAAATGGGTTCGGGGAGTTCAGACTCTGGTGTAGAGGGAGGCGGTGTTAACTCAAGTTGCACCGCAGACCAGCTGTGCAGCCTCAGGCAAGTTTCTTAACTTCTCTGAGCCTCATCTGGAAGATGGGAAGAGTACCAGGGACCATTAAACAGGACATAAATATATATCGAACAAGCACTTAGCATCATACTTCGCACACAGCACGCACTTTGAGATTGGTGGTTGCTATTGTTACAGTGGAGTTACATCACCAGGGCCGTTGTATGTGAATCCAACTACCTGTACTTGGGTGACTATTTAGATAGTGCTAGAAATTCTACTCATGCCCTTTCTCTTGGAGTTAATGTGAGATGACAGAGTGAATCTGATGACATCTATGCCCAAATATTAACTTCACGTAGGGTTAAGACCTGCACAACGTAAGGAACTCTGAAGTGTCATTTTGGCTGTCCTAACTTTAGTCGACACAACCCAGGCACCAGGGACAGGAAGCTGATGATTTTCCTTTGCTTTTTGCATGGGGATCCCTTGCACCTCCCTCTGGGCCGAGAGACCTTTCCCAGTCAGAGAGAGCCCCCCCACCCAAGTTGCTGGGGCCAGGTGCCCAAGAGGGACAGAGTCCCCAGAAACATGCTGACCCAGAGCCAGCCTCGTGGGCTTCAGGAGCCTTGTGCCCCCCACCTCGAGGTCTTGGAGGCAAGGCTACACCCCAGGCAGGCAGCTGTGGTCTTGACACCGAGCGTCTCCCTGGGAGCTGCAGCCCCGCCAGGGCCCGTGCCGAGGCGTCCTGTGGGACCTGCCAGGAGATGGAGGGACACATCTCCTGCCTGTGCCCCACTGGCCACACTGGTGAGCACTGCAATATAGGTAAGCCCCTCATCGGCGTGAGGGTACAGGCAGGGGACCCAGGGGGACCCCTTTATCCCCAGAAGGGACAGAAGGCCGGAGGAGGTGACCAAGGCCAGCTGAGGCTCAGGCTTCCCGGCCTGGGAAGGAGAGGTGAGCAGTGAGAGGTGACGCCTCAGGGTAGAGGCCACAGGATAAACATGTCGCGTCTCTCTAGAGAGTCTAGTCTACATGGCACTTCAGGGAAAAAAAAGTTCAAGTAATTAAACCGAGAAATGGCTCGTTGTTTGTTAAGCCAATGATTGTTTGAGTCGAATGCCCAATATGCTTGAATTTTGAAGATAAAATTTGTGGTTTCCAGGAAGTGTGGAGCTGGGACGAAAATGGGGGAGAGCTGGTCCCGCCTCACGGGAGCTGGGAGGGAAGCTCCGAGGGGGCGGTCTTGCATCGTGCAGAGTCGCCCTCTGCGGGAAAGCCCCGGCAGACCCCTCCATGCTCGGACCTGGGTGGGATTTGGGTCCCCATTCTTGCCCTGAAGGAAGTGACACCCCCAGCTGCAGGTGAGCTTGGCCTTGCCGCGCCCTGCCCCTTGGCACCCACCGCCCTGGGGCCTCTGTCCTTTGCCATGGATCAAGCAGCTCGTGGGACAGGTGAGGAGCCAGGCGGGTCCTCTGATTGGAGGTGGCCCCCAGAACGAGGTGATGAGGATCTGCCTGTTTTCCCTGAACACGTCGAGGCCTGTGGCCATGAGGACATATTCTCTTGTCAAGGATCAGCACCCTTAAGGGAACAGATGCCCAGGTACCTCCAAGCCCATATTTTTGGGATAGGTCTCTGCACTGCCCCCACGCCCTTACCCCAGGCTCTGTCCCAGAGTCTTTCATAGAAGAGCTTCATTCCGCCGACACATGCAGAATCAGAGCCGTGAATCCTGGGGGAGAGCAGATCCCACGAGACCAACAGGGCCGGGCTGTTTGTATATATTAATATATATGCAAATTAATACCTCACAATATATGCTCCCATCATATAAATATGCTGTGTACTTGGCCCTTACACAGGAAAGGTTCTGTGTAAGCAGGTCCTAGGGGGACTACGGATTCACTCTTTCCTCCACTGGGGTCGGCCTTCGGCCATGTGGCGGGGCCGTGACTAAGAGCACTGTGGCCCTCTGTGGCCAGAGGGTGGGCTCTCCTAGGGTGGTCCCGGCCTTACCGCCTAGGGGTTAGTATGTCACGGGGCCACGGTGACCCCTGGGACTCCAGCCACATCCCTCCATTGTCCTCCCTCTGGCTGTGGCTGGTGGAGAGCGGCAGGGGCACCAGGCCTGGGTGACCTGTTCATGGACATAGCCTGAGCCAGAAAGGAACAGACTCAGGGCCCAGCAGGACCAGAATCCCCCTCCCCTGGTGTTTGTATCTTCTGACCCCTCTCTCCCTTCTTAGCGAGTCCTTCCCCAAGCAAAAATCACAGCAGGGCTCATGGCCTTGGAGTGAGAAGTGGGCAGCAATGGACCCTAATTGCTGGAAGGACACAGCCTTTCTCTGATCGTGTGTATCCCCACAGGGCTTTCTGCCCCCACGATTTCTTCCCAGACAGCTCTGTGGGCAGCTTGGCCGTTATCCCCATCTGCAACTACAGTACAGAGAGGTTCAGGGTTTTGCCTAGCTCTTCCAAGGGAGTCAAATCCAGAACTGGGGTCTTCATTCACTTGTTTAACACACTCCGCTAAATAAGAAGCTCCCTCTCGAACATAAAAATCAGTTGCTAGTCTTCACTTGGGAGGTGAACTTCAGAGCCACCAGAATGGAGAGAGTTTATAGATGGGGGGCTTGGCCAAGCCCTCGGCACCTCATTTGTAATAGGGTCAAAGGAGTGATTCTCAGCTTTAAGAACCTCCTGATGCCTGGGGTCCCACTCCCCCAGATTCTGATTGAAACAGTCCTATGGCCTTGGCACTGGGGTTTTAAAGAGCACCCAGGTGACTCCAGGGTGCAGCCAGGGCTGAGAAACTGCTGTAAGGATTAAGAACTCCTGTGTACAGCGTCTGGCCCCAGGAGGCATCAATAAAGATTACTTCGCCTTCCCCATCTCTCACGCCACTGGTTAGGAAAAGCTTTATCATCTCTAAAGAACAGGTGGTGAGGATGCTTCCAAAAAAGCCTGCAGATAGCATCCCGTCTCCGCAGGTGACCCACCGTGGTCTTGAGCTAGAACCCACAAGCACAGTCTGTTGAAAGACAGTGTGGGTCAGTGTTCTCCAGGTGCCAGAGGTTAACAAAATATAGCATTATTTCTGTGGCAATATTTGAATACTCAGTGTGACCTTCCACCTAGTAAATGAGGTTGGAGGCTGTTATTTAGTCCTTAAGAGAAAATATTTGACAATTACCATCATCTTGCTAAGTCAGCATTGTGGTAAACAAGTGCTTGATAAATGACTCATCTCCACTCTTGACGTCAAAATAAACATTTTTAATGAATAGAGATTTTTTAGCGATTGAAAAAGCAGAGCTAGCTACCCCATTCCAGTCCACTTAAGAAGCAACAGCTTCCTCCCCACCTCTTTTGCCGACATTCGCTGAGATTTCTGGCTCTGAGGTTTCAATCCTCCTTAGAATCACCTGTGTGCTTTTAATTTTTAAAAAGCTCCACACCTGGGTCCCACCTGGAGCCACCCCGATGGAATTGGTCTGAAGAGGGACTCTGGCATTGGTATTTTTAAAAATCTTTTAAAAATTTTTGTTAACTACCATAGTGATTCTGATGCGCAGCTAAGGTTGAGACATTCTGTTCTAATCAGATCTCACATCCAGTTTTCCAGCAATCAGTGGTGCTGGGTGTATTTCTCTAAACTCCTGGGTTAGAAGGGCATGAACACAAAATTCAGTCAGCCCTCTTTTTTTTAATTTATTTTTAATTTTTTATTGTTATGTTAATCACCATACATTACATCATTAGTTTTGGATGTAGTGTTCCATGATTCATTGTTTGTGCATAACACCCAGTGCTCACGCAGAACGTGCCCTCTTTAATACCCATCACCAGGCTAACCCATCCCCCCACCCCCTCCCCTCTAGAACCCTCAGTTTGTTTTTCAGAGTCCATCGTCTCTCATGGTTCGTCTCCCCTCCGACTTACTCCCTTTCATTCTTCCCCTCCTGCTATCTTCTTCTTTTTCTTTTTTCTTAACATATGTTGCATTATTTGTTTCAGAGGTACAGATCTGTGATTCAACAGTCTCAAAAGGAATGAGATCTTGCCAGTCAGCCCTCTTTACTGTCTTACTGCCATTCTTCACTTTGTAGGCTTGAGGCTCTGATATATGATCTGACACTTGTCTCTTCCCCTGGAGCAGGGAGGTTGGAATTCCAGTGAAATCTTAGCCCCAGGGGTCGGGGGGGGGGAGGGCGATGCTGTCAAAGCAAGTGAAAATACAGGGTTACAGGGTGCCTGGGTGGCTCAGTTGGTTGGGCGACTGCCTTCGGCTCAGGTCATGGTCCTGGAGTCCCAGGATCGAGTCCCACGTCAGGCTCCCTGCTCAGTGGGGAGGCTGCTTCTCCCTCTGACCCAACCCCCTCTCATGCTCTCTTTCTCTCTCTCTCATTCTCTCTCTCAAATAAATAAATAAAATCTTAAAAAAAAAAAAATACAGGGTTACAAGTGCAAATACAAATCACACCTTCATGATTTGACATAACCAAAAAAATCTATGGGCAGATTTGAACAGGGAACCACAGTCGACCCTTGAACAGCACTGGGGGTTAGGGGTGTCAGCCCGCCGCAAAATTGAAAATCTGCATATAAATTTTGACTCCCCAATATTTAACTATTCATAGCCTCCTGTTGACCAGAAGCCTTAGTAATAACAGAAAGTCAATTAATACTTATTTTGTATGTTATATGTATTATATACTGTATTCTTATAATAAAGTAAGCCAAAGGCAAGAAAATGTTATTCAGAAAATCATGAAGGGGGTACTCCTGGCTGACTTAGTAGGTAGAGTGTGTGCTATCTTCTAAGTCACACTGAATCAAGTGTGACTCTTGATCTCGGGGTCATGAGTTCAAGCCCCATGTTGGTCTTACTTAATTTAAAAAATATACAGAAAAAAAATCATAAGAAAG